AAACTGAAAACTGTATATGAAATGTTTAAAAAGGATAGTGAAATTGGACGGAAAAGCAACACAAGAAGAGAGAGACCGACAGACAAACAGACATTGTTTGTAGTTCTTTATTCAATGATCAAAGTTCATGTTCTGCACCGGATGGCCACGGATCGTCGGACCAAGAAAGTGGGCGCATTTACTCAACGCATCATTCTGTGCTCGAATGTATGAACAAAACTACTATCCGTAATTCACAGAAAGGATCAACCGCATTGCGAAAATACGAAGCACAACTAGGCATTGCCAAAACAAGACAACAAGGATCCAACAACCCAATAGGCACTGCTTAAACCAAAGTAGTTTGCTTCTCATCAAGGCCCACCGAACTAGCCTTCTTGAGAAATCACGCTGTTTACATAGATTGTAGTAAAGCAACTGCATGGTGTCCCAGTAGATCTTTTCAAACAGGAGTGAATAAGGGATAACCAACTCTGGTTTCGGTAATGGATACTCTACTGTTGATAATTCGTGGTTTGGTTTCATCAATGACCATAGTTTTGGACTATAGTTTTCGGGGAGGGGGGGGGGGTAATCTATGGATTGAAATTGTGTGGTAAATTCATAGAAATTAAACCCGCGATAACCAGCTGGATACTGACCTGAACTACTCGTGGACAGATCGGGTCCAGTGGTGGGGGGTAAGTAACAGGAAGCTGGCCGCTTGATTTCTGAGGCTCTAGAGATTACTTTACCATTTGCACCAAGCTGTTCCGTTGTGGCCGACTGCCGCAAACTGTTAGAGCCGGTATCGGAAACACCAGCCGGGACTGTGTTTATACCGCGTCGTTTGACCGTCAGTGTGGGCGGTTGTGATTGTTGTTGCTGCGACTGTGACTGACCGGATGATGAATAATGTGCGCCTGTGTCTTGATCCAACGGAGGTCGGGGACGAGATGTGGCATAAACATATGTGTCTCGAGTGGGGCCTGGTAAATCATCAACAAAGAAAACAATGGAGCACAGCACAGTGTGGGTGATCATTACCACTTTCGTTTATTGCAACACAACGAGTAGGGTGAATGTACGAGCAGTGTGCAATTATCAGATTGAATCACCAACAATGGATTAAACAGCATGCATGTGCTAATTTTATAGATAGTAACAGTATAAATATCACATGATGAGATTAAATGAAAAAATGGGTGTACGAGAACCAAAGCAACCCGCGGTGACAAATGTGTCTAAGGGCTAACTCGGAAACTTTTGATGAACAACGCATTGAATCAACGAACGCTCCAAGAGCGATACAATAAAAGAACTCAATACTTACCCTGATTTATGTGAACTTAGATGAGCAATACAAGAATATTATTTTATGAAAAAAAACGCTAACGCTAGCCCAGACATGAACGCCACTTACGCTTTTGTGCAGCACACGCTCTATCAGCTGAGCTACGAGGCCATAGCGGCAAAATCGATGTTTTCACACTTGGATCACCCACCCAACCTGCAGAGGTATACGAGACCCACCAAGCTGTCTGTCCTGGCAGGTATTACTATGAATTCATCGGAATCCGCCCAATGGACTGTAAGACTGAGTTAATCGTACAAACTATGTTACTTGATAGATAAATGAAGAACAATATCTTGTATCAGTATTCCACTGTTCTTCAAGGTAGGATTCCTGTTGGCAGACGTTTCATAGCTATGCCGGACAGTTTCATCTGTAAGCGAACCCAGCTCGAACGGCCCAGCATTACCAACATAATCTCTCCATTTATCTGCTAAAACATACTTCGCGCAACCCAAGAATATGCCGTATTTGTGAACCTATGATCTCAAGGTATTGTTCGTCAATGATGTAACTCGTGGCTTAGGGGTTTAAACCCCCGAAAGTTACAGTTTGGGTTCCTCCGGGAATTTCAAAATAGCACCCACTGTTGAGGTGATCCAATGAGGACGGAGCAGGCATATAGTGTTCTTTCAAGTCAAGTCCAGTTGATAGTATCTTTATGAGCCCAGCACGCATTTTATTCAAAGGCAGAAGAAATACAACAAACATTTTCTCGTTTCACTTTTTATGGTAAAAGTTGGAGGTTGACAGCAGCGTATACTACCAATAGCAAGGAACGCATGCGGCTCATTCGGCCGCCCAAAACAAATCGTGGAACTTCCTCTTTTTATAAAGATCATCTTATCTGGTTTATTTGACAGTCTGGATTCAGACCCGAGTGAAATACAACATAAATACATTCAATCTCAGTAATCGTCATAGCTTCATGCAAATGAAAACCCTAATTTCAAAACTGCATCAAATTTGAATTTACCTTTATTACTTCGATCTTTTTAAATTGATAGTGTCTTTTTTAGTATAGATTCCCACTAGTGCATAAACAGCATACATTGACGCTCTAGTTTTATTGGGACCGAAAAACTCGTCCGTATGTTTAATCTGTATGAAGTTTATTCTCTATGGTACCTCGCTTCAGCTTTGATCGTTGTCTTTCAAAATTTCAGCTGGTCAAAGTATGAATACAATTTTAGGGTAACATCAAACATCAAAAATATTGTTGCATCGAACGAGCGGAAGATGGACACTACTTTGGACACTCGGTCGTAACAACTATGGATCCTTATCTGTAAATCGCACCAGGCCTAAGGACCCCAACAAAAAGTTTACTTGGATTCGCAAGTTATGACCTACTGGGCAATAATATGACCGTCCTCGACTTTTTTCGACCCCTAACTTCAGAGTTAAACATCACATGTGGAGGAAATTCAGTCCAAAACATATGTCCTAGCCGCTAACACTAATGAAGAGCTAAAAGGTGCATCGACGCATAACCTAACCTCAGCATCACTATTCCGGTTGTCACAGATTGTAACCAAACTGACGCAGTACTGCGCAGACAAAGAGATTCAAAAAAAGTTTCTATTTACCTTCCTCGTACAACGGTCATCTCTGAACTATACCATGGGACTGGTTAGACTGCTGGGACACACACAGCCCTTAACGGATAGGTGAATGTTGCAGTGACGCCAAGGACACCGAAAATCACTAACGCCAAACGGGCATCCGGTATATTCGTCCGCTGCAGTAGACTAACTAGCGTAACGCGACTATCTTTGTAATGCAATCATTGTGTTTGATTACTTTAGAGCTCCAGGGTTCCCGCATTTCGACACCACAAGTTTTGGTTACTACTTTATAGATAGTCAAAGAAAAACATAACAAATATTATAAATGGCGTCCGAGATTTTCAAAAAGATAAGAGTAAATGGTTGGGTAAAGCAGGTAAGTGCAAGATAGCATGAAGGAAATAAGGTTGATTCGCGTGAATTCACCAAGCAATCGAGCACAGTTTGAGAGAGTGATACAGAATGACGACGGAAGAAAATCAAGTTTGATTGTGCCTTGTGTTTCACTGCGGATCTGGGCTACCTAGAATTCTGCGCTTAATTTCTGTACAGTTCAACAGGCTGTCCCACTGGATACTCATATTACGAGGAATCGGTTCTGGGAAACTGGGCAACTTATACACACAACGGTCACGCTTGTATCATGAAATGGAACTAACACAAAAGGGTATCTGACCAAAGCCACAGATAATCCAGATCGGAATAAGAGCTGAGTGAGTTTACTGTGTATCGGAAGAACAATTTCCTCATATTCTGATCACGATATACAATGGATCAATTCGATGTACTTGTTTCATTCCCTCCTAAGTTTGATTTGACGCTACGGATACAAGATCCATCAAATGATGAAACAGTAATTTGAAGATATAAACATAGCCCTCTCATCCCCCATCGCAGTAATGCAGCCAAACCATCAAGGTGGCCAACGATTCTTCATCCCAGAGCTAAGATTTCACCGCAGATTATTATGGCGTGAAACTTAGTACACTCAGGTATGTCACATGCGGAACCCACATGTTAGTTGCATTCAGTTCTATACAAAACACGCACTCAGATGGGTTGTTTTCGTATAAATTGAGAAAGCTTGCAAACTTAGTCGAGCTTCAACGTAGCAGCATAAACTTTATTACATTTTCACCGAAGGAAAATATGCTCTCAATTGTTAAGATAAGTGTTTAAGAGGTACAGGCCATCGTCTAATCGATTTGGAGATCGAGTGTTTGGATATTAACATCACTAACTAACTCCTGAGTCTCTCTTCCCCCTTGGTAAAATTCGATTAGATGGTCCCTTTTTCCAAGAAATGAATGCACAATTGCCTATACTAGCAAAGCATCTACAAGATGAACCGCTTTAAGAATCACACTGACCAAAATGATTAAAAAATACAAAATACAATACAATAATTGCGTTTTTTGATTATTCTGGTTAACAGATAACGACCAAGAAGACAAACGGAAATACCGCACACACCGATGGTAACACCAACACCTGCTGGTGCCCCGACAACCCTGTTTGGTGCCATCGCAACCGGCGGAGGTCTGGACCCATCTATTGGCCCCATCGGCATCGCACCAGCAGAAGACATAGGCGGAGCGGAACCGGTGAGCAGAGAGTAAGCTCCAAGTCCGGGCACATTCAACAAGCCATGTTGTGAGAGGGTGGCAGCAAAAGCCTGACCGAACTCTGCCGGACTAAAATCCGTATACGGTGCCGCAGCAGCAGCTGCTTGTGCAGTTCCGGTACCCAACCGTAAGGAGCTAAACAGGTCACCCAACTGAATGGCTTGCGCGGCCGGTTGACCCCCCGCACCACCCAATCCCGTTGGTAATCTATCTGGACCCATTGGGAGAAGAGAGGTTTGGGGTGTGGTGGTGGGCGCTAGAGCGGCTGGGTAGACTGAGGCCAGCTGAGCCGCTGCTGTTGTGCCCGAACTGGTAACTCGCAGGGTGGAACCCGGTGGAGCGAACTGTACAGAGGCAGCCGCGTATGGCGGTGAGGTTGGATAAAACTCAGGACCGGCTGATGGAGGACCACCTCCGGCGAAACCAGCAGCCGCTTCACCCGGATGTCGAGACGCAAGTGAAGCTAAGATTGCGGACTGGCTGGCTGGATAGTATGCTGAGTAGGAAAGAGGGGATAACCAAGATGATTGATCAATTACGAAACTGTTTAATATCGACAGTGCTTTTCGAGAAATAAGTTTTATCTCAAGTAGTTCGACGGCAACACAAAAAGTATTCTTGACAAAAACAGCTGAAATACTCGAATCAAATAAAAGGCACGACGCGGAGTCAGTGAAAATGTTGTGAGGAAATACAAATACGTTATTGAGTTTGTGAGAGATTAAATTGTTCTTCTGAGTTCAAGGTTTATTTCCTTTAGTATACCAATAGTTCGCATGAAAATATAAACCACCCACGTGTCTTCAATCTTGCTAAAAAGAAAAACAATTTGTGAACTGGATGGAAATCCATATTCGATCGACCGATTGGTGGCCACATGCAAAATGCAAAGGTAAAACAACAACCATTGGAAGAAAAACAAAATCCCGTGCGGAACGGCGTGAAGGCAGAAAATCTAGGTTTTTTTCGTTCCCACACAAAAGAAAAAGAAGCATTCAGCGTTATATATTGCATACACCTGGTGTTGTAAACGTTTGTCCGTTGTATGTTCCAATGTACGACTGATGAATATTTGAAGCTCTTGTCGCAAATGAAATTTATTCCTCCCCACCAATAATGGTCACCTACTAGGACTGTCTGACCAGAGTATAGCGAAGTAGCAAAAAACAATGAAGATAAGTTTACAATGGCAAGTAAATCAGAGAGGTCGAACTCACAGTGAACAAAATTAAATTCTTATTATTTGATTGTGAATGACCAGTTGATAAATAATAAAATAATAATAAAACAGGTGTCGTTCACGTGTCAGAAACTAGTACTTTGTTCTAAAGGAGCAAAATGGTGTATTTCCCAATGCGTTGTCAAGGTAATTGGTATCCACAACGTGAAAACAGTTCATGCAATCCTATTCAACCAATTGAACCAAAAATGACAATGGATTTGTGATCATCGATTGGTGAGTGTTGGTTCCTACATGAGGTGGTATAGTTAATGCCATATATATCATATATATATATATATATATATATATATATATATATATATATATATACACATACTATATACTATATCCTATTTCGTTTAATCTTCTCAATCGCTGACGCAAAACAAACAAGCACATTTATAACACACCA